TGCCGACTTAAAGGCATCCAGTTCTTCCAAGTGACTCTGCACCATCTCAGGGTCTACGCATGGTAGTCTGGCGCCTTGCTGCTGCCTCTCTACAACCCCAGTGAGAGACTTGTCGTGCCCCTTGCTTAGGAACACTGAGGCAAAGAACTTGTTGAGGAGTTCAGCCTTGTCCCCCCTGTCCGTCACCAATTGTTTCTGCCCATTTAGCAGGGGTCCTATTCCTCCCTGGGCCTTCCTTTTACTCCCTATATATCTAAAAACCAATTTCTTGTTGTCCTTTACTTGGGATGCCATCCTCAGCTCCATGGTAGCTTTGGCCTGTCTAACTGCCTCCCTACAAGAGCGAGCAGAGGAGGTATACCTCCTCTTTGGTGATCTCTCCCTGTTTCCACTGTTTATGTGCTCCCCTTTTGGCCTGTAGGTGCCCTGGATTTCTCTGGTCAGCCAAGGAAGCCTCCTGGCCCCTTTCCCTCCTTTTCCTCTCATCGGGATTGTCTCCCTTTGTGCCCGAAGGATCATTTCCTTAAGGCACAGTCACCCTTCTTGGGCTCCCATCACTTCAAAACTCCTACTCTGCAGCGCGTCCTTGACTAATCGCCGGAGTTCATTGAAATCAGCTCTCCTAAAGTCTAGCACTTTCACCCTACTAGTTACCTTACCCACTCGACGTCTTTGAAGAATTCTATTATTAGGTGATCGCTGTCCACCAGATGGTTACCTATCTGTAGGTCCCCTACCATGTCATCCCCTGTTGCCAATACCAGATCCAGTAAGGCATTCCCACCTCTGGATCATTCTCTTCTTAAAATATGGAATCTATTCTATAGCATGGTGGTTAAAATACTTCGGAGGATGTGCGTTTGAATTCCCTCAGGCTGAAGAGAACCTAGGATCCAGATTTTTTATCTCGGGGGCTGGGAATATCTTGCTTTCAGCCTATTTAAGGAGTTTTTTGTTTTGGGTAAAAGATTCCCAGGCACTGTAGCTCATATTCTGTATTACTTAGAGTGTTGCATTGGTTTGGGGGGAAGAAAAGAGGTGAGAGCAGGAGTGGGATTTGAAGTTACACATTGTCATCTTCTTTAATTCAGGACTGAAGACAGAAGTCCTCTTGTTGAGGGAGGGCAGCAAATCTCTTCTCCACTAGGAGTTATATTTGACATATCTGTACTTATTTACACCAAGACATCTGAACTGAAATGTTTTTTCCCCATCATGTATGCTTTTGTTAGTATAGGATTGCTTATTGATTTTTTCCCTCCTTTTTTAAAGAAAAACTAGTAGAGATAAGTAAAATGTAAGAAAATAAAACAAAAATTAGTTTCAGTTTTGTAAGATTCTTTTAGATGGTCTTATACAGCAAATGTTTCACAATTTTTATCTTGCAGAAACTATTGAAGTAATGAATACTCGTATGTTAGAAATAATAAAAGTATTTGAAAGACAAACAAATAAGTTTCAAAGGTAAGACTAGTGTCTGAACAGGAGGATAATTGCATGCATTGTTACATGACTTCTATGCATAAAAATAGTGCTTTGTCTCATCGTATGATAATTTGCAACCAAAACTATTTTTAATTAATTAAATAATTACCACTGCTTTGTGAGAAGCAATTATTACTTATTCTTCCGTGTGTGTGCTGATTCCTGAGCCTTTAACTTGGAGACTTCTAACCTTAGCTAGTACTCATATTGTGTTCTCCAGCCATTCCCATCTGAGTTCCTGAAACTGCACTTCTTAAAAAGAACTGATTCTGAGTTCTACTTAGTGTTTTTAGTCCCTCAGTATCCAGTATATCCAACAAGTGCAACATTTGTCAGTCCTTAACACCCAGTAGAAGAAAGGCATATGAGATCAAACTTTGCGTGTGTCTGCTTAATAAAATTTGCAGATCATCAGCACCCGGTTAATCTGCACTGAACCACTGCTCTGGAGTAACATTGACCAGAACTGATTGAAAATCTTTGTCCCTGACCTCTTCTTGTCAGAAACTCTTAGCCCCTAGGTTCATCTCTGCCAACTCAGGAGTCTACCATGCCTTATAAAAAGATAGGACTGACCATTCTGGCTCTGAGACCTCTGGTTTTATAAAGATCTGGAAGAGGTTTGTGGATCTTCACTGCTGACTGCTCTGTTGATTTTATTCTACAGAAGAGTTATGGATGCAAAAGTCTCACAAGAAAATGGAAATTCTCTTTACACTTTATGTCCAGATAGATATATAGTTATGACATTTCTTCCTTAAGTAGTTTGTTATCCTGGGTTTAACACATTATAGACATCCCTGTCTGATCACAGACACTATTACTATATATTTTGTTCATTTTAAACATAAACAAATGAGACTGTCATTTCATGAGGTGCTTTTAAAAAATTATATAGATTGCATATAATTTTGTCTTAACTAAGATTCAGTGATGAAAAATGGAAAAAAAAGTATGCCATGTTTTGTTTTTCAGAATTTTAAATGAACAAGATGTTCTAGAGGGTGTAAGTATACTTGCATTTTAATTTTAAAATAGTGACTTTCCTAGAACACGGTTTGAGGTAAGAGTCTTTATTTTTCTGGAAGATCCTCATCCCTTCAAAAGGACTTCAGAAAAGTCTTGCTCTCAAGTAGCGGGGAATTAAAAAACCCAGAGAAATAACATGAACCCACTTATAACAGATGGTTCTGAATCTATTTATCTTTTATTTGCTTGTATTTTGAGGCATATGCTTTAGAACAGTAGGTGCCAACCTTTTTGGCAGGCGTGGCATAAATTACCCCCATATTATCCCTGTGTTCCACTCTGATCCCCTTCCCTTTCTTGATTGGCTGCTAAGCTTTCTTCTCTCTGCCCTGTACTCCCTGCCTGATTTGCTGTTCTGCTTTTTGTTTTCGGTCATGTGTTGCCTGCCCAATCTGCTACTCTACTTTCTGCTCCCTGCCTTACCTGCTGTCTGTCCACTCCCTAGTCTGCTGTGTGCCACAGAGAGGCTTCCTGTTCCATATCTGGCATGCATACCACAGGTTGGCCATTCCTGCTTTAAAATACTATATAGCATTATAAAATATACAAGGAAATAGTGATTATAAAAATATGTAAGGAGAGTGGAGGGAGAGGGAGGACAAGGGTGGAAACACACACATGCATGCTTACTTTAAGTTTAAAGTTAAGACCGAATTCATATGTCCAAGAAATGGAAATGTTGAAATAAATAAAAATCTGGGAGATAGCTAAGGACTCCAAATTAGTGAGCAATAAACACCTCCTTAGAATGTGATAGGTGCCCCCCTCATTCACCAGTTACAGAAAGCACTTGGCACCTAAAAACATTCCTACCATTTCCAGCTGGAAACATAGTAGTCATTCTTTTTGTTTAGATGTTTTATATTTTTAAGAGTTAGTTGTATTTGATATTAAACCAAAAATTTTAGTACTTAAATAGCCTAATATCAGTATCTTTATTTAGAAATACCAGAAGATAGAAAATGAATATCAGATACTAGCAGAAGAGAAACAGATAATGGAGAATGAGCTTCAAAAGATGAAAGAGACAGAAAAAATGGAGGTTAGTGTATGTATGTAGTAAATGGTTAACCATTTTAACAATAGGCAGGTAGTAGAAAAAGTTTGCTTCTACAAAGCAGTAATTCTGGTTGTTTTCTAGATAAGCCCTTCAGAACGGTTTTTTGTCTTTATTTTTCCTCTTGTATTTTTAAGGAAGAAAAAATTTGCTGGTATGTTGCTTCAGCTGTATCTCTTTTCCAGAGATAAAGAATTTTAGTACTCTTCTGGAAAGTAATACTAAACTTTCAGTGCTGCAGGGTTGTGTGCTCCAGCAGTCTCAGTGTTTCTCTGTACTTCTATAAGTTTCTCTTTGTTTCCTTCTTTAAGCACCCCAAATCCCAAGATACAGAGAATATATGTATTTTTATTATTTCCCTGTGCAAACATGGATGACCTTAAAAGCAAAAATGTAACATCATGCTAAACATTCACTTCTTAAGGTTTATAGGGTTCTGTAAATGTGCACATCATTATATATGTTTAATTTCTTTATTGTTGATGATATTTAAAATATTTGCCTTGATTGTTATTTATTAAAAACTCAGTAGGTGTCTGTTTGAAAGCATTGGAGGTCTTTAAGAGGAGACTGGACAAACACCTGGCTGGGGTCATCTGACACCAGCTCTCTTTCCTGCCCAGGGGCGGGGGGTTAGACTCGATGATCTTCCGAGGTCCCTTCCAACCCTAAAAATCTATGAAATCTATTGTTATGTGTCTAGCACAATTCATGAAAGTGCCAAATTCCTCTCTTCCAATTCATTAAATAGTTAATAAAAACAGCCACCTTGGAACTCACTGTATTAAAATTCAGATACAAGCTATATTAAAATCCCCACATAATGTATGCTAAAATCCCCATTTAAAGCTTGGTAATGACTTTGTGTCATGGCACATGCACATTAACCGATGCATCTCTGACTCCGTTTCCAAGTAGTAGCAAAGTTTCATAGATGTTTCCTCTCTGGCTGTCTTTAATTCCCAGCAAGTCTGCTTATCTCTTTCATATATGCATCCTCCCTGTTGTTGTCACAAAGGTTGTGGAAAACACAACAAATGAGTGTCATAAGTGGTGGTTCTTATCAATCTCTGGCATCCATCAGATGCTTCCAGTTATTTCTGTCTCAAATGTACATTCCATTGGGTATGCTTAAACAATTCCTTTCTTCTATCCATCTGTCCATTAAAAGGCTTCATAAGGGCAGAATTTGTTTAGCATTTTAGGCAGTTTTTTGGCTTACATTACCAACATATTTGCAATGTAACTAATATGCTACTCTTTGTTGAAAAAGCATAGTTGCTATTATATTGATTTTAATGCATTACATTTTACAGAAAGAAAAAATAATGCCAGAACTTAGAAAGAAGGTTTCAGCATTCTTGCAACCTTCTGAAAGTGAGACTCTTGAAGCAGCAATGGCAAAAATTCAATCAGGAGGGTAAGAACAAACAGAATTAGGATTTAGGTATAATACAAACTGACAATCTCCATATGACGCTAAATCAGGCAAGGCTTATAATTTGACCTGATTCAATATTAAAAATAAAGTCCTTCCTTATTCATTAGTTTTAATATTGTTGTTTCTGTTAGTTAGCAGATCAAATGCTCACCCTAATTCAAACATATCTCTTCTTGGATGTTGATCAGAAGTGTATCATGCTTCTTCAGTGCCTGGAGCAGAGAGGGGGAATTATTCCAACCTCTGGAGAAGAGGGCAGAGGGGAGTCTTACCTACCTTGGGTCTGTATTCTGGAGGCAGCTGCTATTGCTGTAGTTATTGCTGTAACAATTGGCTATAGCATCTCTGCAGCACAGGCTCCCTGGAAGCCACCGTAGATGCCCAGTTTGCTCCCCCTCTCCCCCACACACATGCTATTGGGTATCGGACTGTGCCTGCTGTGGCAGACTCCCTGGGGAAGGGAGCATTCTGCTCATCCCCTGTACCCCCACGAGTTACATTGCCTGGATTGTTCCTGCCCCCCAATCTCTGTAGATGCCACCTGACACCCCCCCCGCCCATCCCTCCATGGATTGTGCCTCACCCCTGCACTCCCCCACAGAATCCTGCCTTTCCTATCCCTCCTATGGATGCCGCCTGCCCCCCAGTTGCTCCCACAGACACTGCTTGTCCCCTTATCCCTCCTGTGGATGTCACTTGCCCTTCATCCCCCTGTGGATCCTCCCCACCTCCCTCCCCATATCTTCATGGGGACACCACCTGCTCCCCATCCCCCAGCAGATCACTCCTGCCTCCCTGTTCTCTCCTGGATGCTGCCTGCCACCTGATCACTCCAGTGGACACTACTTGCCCCCCATCTTTTGCAGATCACGCTTGCCTCCCCATCCCTCCTGTGGATGCTGCTTGTCCTCTTCCTCCCCTCCCGTGGATACTACTTGCCTCCCTTTATCCCCCATGGATGCTGCCTGCCTCCCATCTTTCTGTGGATGCCGTCTACCCCATCCATCTACCCATGCATGCTGCCTGCCCCCGATCAGTCCTGCAGACACCACTTGCCCCTCCATCCCCCTGTGGATCCTGCTTGCCCCCCATATCTCCTTTAGATGCTACTGGCCCCCCCGTTTCCTCCACAGGTGCAACCTACCCC